ATCATTATTATTCTTTCCGTACTTCCTTAACACTATTCAACACGTCTCAGCAATGCTCACATTTCCTCCTTGGAGTTTGTGTAACAGGTATAAAGACAAAATGTATACTTGCTATCTGTGACTACCAATCTTACTTTCTCCTTCACACCACATCAGTGGTAGCTACTAGTGAAGATCATCAGCAAATCAGTACAAAAAAACCCCAACAAACCACTGTAAGAAATCACATTTGCTAATAAAAAATTACATTTTGTTCCTAGTGTATGACAGTACAGAGAAAGAGGAGGAAAAGCAAAATGGAGAGTGAGGGAGAAAAAAAAGGGGCAACCGGTAGTCCTTCTGCTTAGGCAGTTTCTTGATCAATTTCCTAGTGGATCGCCTTGACTAGCGGCATGTTTGGTTCCTTGCACTAACCTAAAGGTTAAACCAAACATGAATTTAAGAGATGGGTATGAGGTAAGAGGCACACAACCACTGAATACATGGTTTGTACCATTGATGTCAAGAGATTAGCTAATTTGAGCTAGCCCCATTTGCTTTCCAGATAAGGTAAAAAGAAAGTGTTATGCAGAAACTCCTACATTTCCAAGCTTCAAAGACCTTTTAAATGAAAAACTGAAGTTTACTTTTCTTTCTATACTCTTCGCAAGCATAGCTGACTATATTATATTTGTAGCTGGGAAAGGTCCATTTACAGAAAGAAAATGCGGGCAAATATAATTATTAGGTATTAATAAAGATTTCTAGACATAAGCACTAAATAACGTAACCTGACATAATGGACATCAAAATACAAATTAACAATTTCAGCTCTAACACAGTAGCAGCCTAAGCTTTTCAACTGTCTAGTGAATCAGTTTTGATCAAGAACTATGACAGATCACGCTTTACAACAGTCCTGCTTACTTATGTAGATTAGTTCCATTTCTTAAATTGCCTTAACTGGAAGTAAGGCTTTATAAACAAGACAAATGGACATCGCTTTTTCTGTGAACTTTGTTATACTCATCCATCAGAAGGAACTAATCTGTGCTGTTCTAAAAACATACAAAGAAACAAATTATCCATGCTAAAGAAACGTCTAAGTAGTTCTAAACAACAGATGGGATTAGAAGGATTATAGAAAAGGTTACTCCTTAATATGAGTCATTTTAAAAGAGTGAACTCATCAACCATTGAAGTAGTTTCCATTCAATCTGTGAAATATATAAAGTGGGCACAGATGGAGAACATCTTAATTTACAACTGGAAAAGCTTTCTTAAAATTTGAAAACTGCTTAACTCCTATGCAAGCGTTAAGTAACTAAGAATGTGTATCTCATCATACATCTTAATTCTGTTTCTTTCTCTTCTTTCTCAAGGTTTTCTACTCTCAGTTTCAAAATCTCTGCAAAAGGTAGAAGATAAAGATATGTTGCTAACCACATTAAATCTCGGAAAAACTCTTCGAAATGGAGACAGAACTGTGAACAGAGGAGCTATACCTTTCCTGAAGCATTATAAGACTGAAGACAGCAGTGTTTTGGATCAAGAGGAAGACAGAAACGTGAAGTTTTTGGTGAGTTTTCAGTTTTATGTTTTGGCTTAATTGTAAAATGGAAATCCTCTTTATAGTCCTTTAGTAAACAAGTACAATAATTTAAAGCAATAACTGTGCGAATATGCAAAAATATCAGTTTAGCCTACTATAGTCAAGAATAAGTTTTGAACTTATAGTAAGTATCTAATTCCAAGATATTAAATGTGTAACTTGGACAGTTGAATAAAAGAAATCTGATTTTTACAGAACTATATGTAGCCAAAACTTGTAGGGAAAAGCACAAATATTCATGTTTGATTCAGCATGTCCCTATATGCAGCCACAGTTTAACTTCACCAAATATAAGACTCGTTATTTTATCATGTTCTTTACCATAAAACCATTTCAGTCAAAGATGGAATGCAGATCATTATATTTAAATTATCATCTTGAAAGATAAAATATTTGCATTGCTAAGTATAAAGCATACCAAGTAAATGCAACTGACTTTATTTAAAGATAAACTGCTACTCTTGTTTTCCCTTAAAACAGGATACAGGTTCCAGACATGATTTCTTAAATCATGTTATGCCAATCAACTTAGGTAGAAAGCAACTACCTTATCTTGCACTGAAGGGAGACATGGCTTTTCCAGCTGACACTGAAATTCAAAATATTGAATCAATACAAGAAAGAGAAACTGCAGATGAAGAAAATTCAGCTAAATTTCCTATAGGAAGAAGAGATTTTGACAGTAAGTATATTTTCATTTTTACACAAAAATTATTTCATTCGGGTAAAGTATAATGCAATGTCTATATAGCAATTTGATTAAGGTTCATTTTGAAACTCCAGGTCTATGGTGACTTGGTGCACAGGGGAGGAAGCATTTGTTAAATTTATTAAATTATTTCCAGAGGCCATAAAGAATACTGGTTCTTCAATGATTTAAACTTACAGGTGTTTTTTTTCTTGCAGTGCTCAGGTGTATGCTGGGACGAGTGTATCGACCTTGTTGGCAAGTCTGAAAACTACTGATCTACACCACCTTCTTTGAACATTAAACATTTTATTATGAATTTAATGTAATTTGAATTTATTGTGTATTAGTGTGGCTATACATGTACTTCCAGAAATACTTTCCCATCACATTGTAGAGGGAAACATAATTCATTACCAATAAGGGACATAGCTGTAATTACTAATGATGTATTGTTATCAAAAAATAAAAGACTTCTGCATAATATAGACTTGTATTTTTCTGATATTACACACAGGCTACTTCTACTTATTTGAGTATGGAAGGAAGGAATTAATGAATTTCACCCTTTTCAAAATTTTACAAACTTCTGAACCATGGTCGACGTACCATGTATATCAAAATAAAATTTATAGTCGAAAATAAATTATAGTCGAAAAAAGTGAGTTAATTTTGCCTGACCAGCAATCAACTTATTCTTGCTTGCAGTTTTGCTGTGTTGTCTTTTTCCACCAATTTTGCTGTCCAATTCTGTCTGAGGGTTGTTTGAAGTCTTAGGTCTTTTAGCATTTTTTTGCAAAGATGGTTCACTTTCCTTATCACAGATTACTTTGTCATTATTCAAATCCATCTGTTCATTCTTGGAGTCCTTGTTTCTTGGCTGACAACTCAGCTTTCCCGTTTCTGTATAACTTCTAGTCGGATGAACATTTTCAGAAATAGTTCCAAGCACTGGTACATCAAGACATGAATTCATACCTTCTGTCATGTAAGAATATCAAAAACATATGTGAAGAAATAAAAAGTTACCTGGGTTTATTCATCTTTTTTCTATCAGAGGACTGTCATGTGATTTTTTTAATCGAAGCTAGGGCTTTATCAGTAAAACAAACCTATGCTGGTCATTGCAGTTACATTCGCTATGTATTCTTAAGTGTACTGCCAAATTAAAATTACATTGCTTAAAAACATGTAACAGCAACTAACTTAGGGAAGTGGATTTATAACTTTAAGATATTGGAAAAGATACTTAAAGGGCCTAGAAATTATATATATGATACAGTTTATAGTGGAGTAAAACAAATTTTTCCCTTTTTCAATGACTAAAATACAAATTTCACTTAGCTTACTTTCATAAAATACGAAGAAACATTATGTAATGTACGTGAAATGTATCAATTTTTTACCTCAAGACAGCATCAATACATATTTTTCAGATTTACATTTTCAAAGCATTAGCATTTCAATTTTAATGCAAAGACATTTAACTGATCACAGCATATACAGAGCAAAGAGACAGGTCTATTTTTTTCTTGAAAATGTATTTATGCTTGAGTTTTCATAAAGCATTGTTTCATAACATTTGAAATATTAGCCATCACGTTTACTTATTCAGTCCTACTATACCTTACCTGTGAGATATCCAGCTTTTAAAAGTTGCTTTGGTGCAGGAGGTATGCAGGTTGGAATTTGGTTACTGCTGACAAAATGTTGACCCTTTATTTCACTCAACTCATTTTTATATGTACATGCAAACTGAGATTTGATTGAAGATTGCTTCATCTGCAAATAGCAATTTGGTATTAGCTTTAATTATTTACAAAAGTAAGAGACAACACCTGAAAGACTAGTAAAATAATACATTTTCCCATTATTCTGTCTTGAAAGCTTTAGATCACATAAAATACCAGAAAAATAAGTATGCTCACATAAAAGATATTTATGAAGTATTCATTTACAAAGTGTAAAGGCTTTCAATAATATGAATAAATTATCCTATTAAGATCCTAAAATAATTTTTAAATATTTTTTCATCTTTCAAAAAGTTACACATCAATTTTTAAAGCTTCAATCTAAGATTTTCTGTTAAAGTTAGCCCCCTCTTTAGATAGACTACAGACTCTACCATTTTAAGTAGCTGTTATAGCTACTACAGTCAATTATCGTACTTCTACAGGTCATCTTTGAGATGCCAGTCTATAAGTGCCAAGTATAGGATGAGTCTCACCACTTAACCAATTTATATATAGAAGAAAGCATAATAGCAACAGTGAAAAGGAATGATACATAACAAACTAAGCTTCAAAATACTTATACCTAAAACTGGAATATAAAGTATTATTTCAGATTTTTCTGTGGCAAATTTCAGATTTCCCATTTACCCACAAAACAAAGCCATTTCCTCATTGAATGCCAATGTTGTACTCCACATTTGTGAAAACAGACCCATATAGCGTAAGTTGCCAGAAATCTACAGTATTGAAGAACACTATTGTACCCGGTTCTGCATGCTCATGTCCACCTCCTAATCTTGGCAGCAGGGAACCTAGTCTCATAGCACAGGTAAAATAAAATATTTGGCTCAACTACAAAAATTTAAATAGATTATTTTCAATATATTCAATATATCCATATTTAACAGAATCAATGGTTACAGGTTAAACTTCCTCAGTTTACACTTAAGTTACAGCTTCACAATAGCTTAGACTTTCAGGGTCAAGCTTTGTAGTTTCTGGCTAATTTATCACAAATGCATTTTTGCATATCCTATACCCAAAATAAGCTTAAGAATTTGAATAATTAAAAATGCAACTCTAATCTAGCTTAAACTTAATCAACATCCTATTGTACAATTACAATATTCAGAATATAAGGGGCTTACATTTTCTTTAATTCTAAGGTTATTGTAATATTAATGAAAAATATTTTCCTGTATTTGCTATGTTTCTTAAACCATTCATCTTAATCCTTCAAAATTCCCTCAATTCTTAATTATTTTTCAGCGAACAACACACATCAAAAATTACACAACAATAACTTGCACAGTTCTATCACATATTCACATTGCAAGGAGCAAATAAGCTACAATTTGCGCTAAGTTGATGAAGATGTAATAAACACAGCATGAAGAACATCAAACTTGAGCAAGAAAGCCTGACAGTTACCATTCTATATTTTTTTGGGACAGAGTTCCTTTTTACCACCCCCATCCAACACTGCACTAATTTAGTTTGCAGGCATTAGAATATGTGGAGTCAGAGGACAGAAGTCAAGCTCAAATACTGAAAAACTTGCAGCACAAAACCATCTGTCTGTTTCAGCTTCACTGAAGCTTGAAATATGCCTCAAAACTTCAGCGTGTATTGCATCACATACCATTTAGTCATGTGCAAACAGTATACAAAGTTCTACCAAATATGACTGTTACAGCTGATGCCAGTACTAATCTAGAGGGTATATACAGATGAAGGGTGCAGGACTGAATTTGTTGTAGTCGTCAAACTTCCCAACTAGTCTAGGAATGTACATTCACTAATAAAAAAATAAAAAAAATTATACAGAGTGAGGTAGCAGTAAGTAAATTTTAATAGTCTGAAGGCAGAACAAAAGAGCTCAAGGCTAGTGCTGAATTAGAAAGTAGAGCTTCGCTGGAATGTTTTTAAAGAAAAAAGAGCAACTTAACTTGATGGAAGCACATATACTGAAGCTTGTTAACAGCTTGAAATAGCTCAAGTTCTTTTACACTAAATTCTCTGAAATCCACTACTTTGAGGGCACCACCCCAATGACCCACAGCTCTGGGAGAGCAAAAAGATGTTGGGAGCTCAATTTGCTAATCAAGTAGTTGCACACAAATGGCGTACAGTCAACTCAGACTTCCTATCCCCTCTCCTCTTCACAAGCGAGTGGGATGTTGCTGTTATCCCTCAACAAAGAAAGAAATTCTGCATTTCAGAAAAAAGGGTTTGTTGTTATAGCTGTTCAGCTGGAAGAAAGTATGATAGAATTTAAGACAGTGTTTCAGCACAGGTAGATAAATTAGCAGTCCTAACGAGTATATAAAGCAGGTCATTCTCCCACCTTGACTTCTATATCTAGAGAAGGTTTTCAGTTGTTTGAGATGCCAACATGAAACATTCACTTTTATATGAAATATTAATGGTGCATGCTCTATTTATTTCTAAAAGTTAGTTGATAATCTATTCCAGATCTCCTTCCAGCATCTGCATACAGACAGTACTGCCAATATTTAGTCACTAAGAATGTTGAGATTTGGTTTTTATACACTGGAATGAAATAATAGAATTTGAAAACCTACATCAGTAACAACAAACACATGTTTTTACTCTCTAGCCAAACGATTAGAGTACTATTTGGAAGAGGAAAAGAGATAAAAAGAGAAAATGTCTTTTCTCCACCCTTACCCTTGTCCTTTTAGAAAAAAAAAAATTAAAGGTAAGTTGAAAGAGTAAGTTGAAAAAGGGAAGGGAGTGCAAAGGGAAGAGTAATAGAACAATAAATGGTAAGTATCATTGCCAAACCAAAGCATCATGTTACTCAAATATGAAAAATGTCCTGAATAGCTCAGGTAACACCAAGCTTTTATTGTACTGAAACTATAAAATTTTTTTAGCATGACATTGTACCAGCCTTTTGCTATCCCAAATTAACCTACTACAGTTTTGAGAACATTTAGCCTCAAATCACCTCATTATTGGGTTTTGAAAGTACTTAAAACTCACAGCCATGTATCCCCAGAAAGTAGTTCAGGGGTCTCATAGAAAGAAAAATGGTATTTTCTACACAAGTATGATTTATCATCTGACACTAATAATAAAGTCTTTCTTCATATTTTGTGCTGAACATAAAGTTTTTCTCCCCTACCTCTCTCTCCTCCTGATACTCATTTTTAGCATACTCCATACACATTGAAACTACTAGTCAGCTTAATGTTCTCCATAATTATATTCCACTTCAAAATAAATAATTCCTGCTACAGTAGAAAAGACTACTACCTGAGGAAGACTTTTTTTCTCTATTACTATTAATTTTCTGCTCACAATTATAGTGGGCATACAGAAAACTCTTGATAACTTCCTGTTGACAGTTTTCCAAGTCACAGTTTATTTGAACTGGAATCACAAATAGGCAAAACAATTCTCTCAAGTAACAGCATTTAGAGAACTAAGCAATGAAAAATAACAGCAGTGCCTAAAGCTAGATATTAAGTCATTTTGTACAGGCATGAACAAATCACATGAGAAAGGC